GTACTTTTGGTCATCCGGTACCTCTGGCTAGAAGAGCCACCAAAGGTACAATACCCCCTGCTCCAGCGATGTCAAGACAATTTGGATCATTGTGCCAAGCGAGACTCCCTAATGCAAACGCGGCAAACCTTTTCTGCTTGTCAGTTCCAAATCGCAGAAGTGCAATAAGAGGTTCGATTGCGCCTGCTCGACCAATCTCGGCACGACTTCCGTCGTTATTGGCCAAGTTACCAAGCGCAAGAGCTGCGGAGCACTTCTCCTTGTCGGTTCCAGTTCCCAACAATGCTACGAGAGGCACAGTACCTCCTGCTCGAGCAATAGAATCACAGTGTGAATCGTCGTATGTGAGACCAGATAATACAACAGCCACGCTTTCTTTTTGCCTCTCTGTTCCACTTGTCAAAAGCGCCACCCTCTCGGGCAATTGCATCGCAAGTTTCAGCATCATTTGAGCAGCCTGCCAAAACAGCTGTTGCAGATAATTTTTGCTCGTCATTGCCAACATGGAGAAGTTCGACAAGAGGTTTGACGGCACCTTCGCGTTCAATCTCCTCGCAATGTTCCTTACGTTTCGCGAGTCCAGCTAGAACCGCAGCAGCTCTTTGTTTCTGTCCGGTAGTTCCGGTTTGAAGCAGGGCGACGAGTGGAGAGATAGCTCCTTGACTTGCAATCTCTGCACACTGCTTCTCATTTTTCACAAAATCGGCCAGTACATTCACAGCACTCTCTTTTTGTTCGTCAGTCCCGACAAGCAAAATTGAGACGAGTGACGCGACTGATGTCTCGTGCGCAATGGCCGAAAGGTTGGTGTAGCTGGAGCGCGTAATGGTTCCAAGCGCGCACCCTGCGCCATTCTTTTGTTGGGGGCTCCCTGTGCGCATCAGTGTCAAGAGTGGCGTAATAGCCCCTTTCCGCATGATCATATTGTGAGCTTCTTTGCTAAGTGCAAGGTTTCCAAGCGCATACGCTGCTCGATGCTTTTGCTCTGGCGTTCCGACTTGAACAAGTGCGACGAGGTATCGAATTGCATCTTTCCGCGCGATCTCGCTTCGAATATCTTCGTTGTTCAGAGCGAGATTGCCCATCGCTTTCGCTGTCCACATCTTCTGAGTGTCGTTGCCGTTTTGCAAGAGTGTTGCTAGTGACGGGACCAAACCAAACCACAACTTTTGGGTTTCTTGGCCACTTTCGACTGCTTCAGCATCTCGAAAATCATCGTTGTTTCCCTTCGCTGCGATGCAGGCACAGCGTAGCGCTGCTTTTTCATCTCCGTCATCAGAACTGTTTTGCAAAGCATCCGCCGCCGACAAATGGTGTTGTGATGGGACATCTTTGACACAATCACGGAGGGCGCTGACATCGGACGGGGCTACCTTTGCGTCTGAGCTTGCCGCCCAATGTAAGCATTCCAGTGCGTACAGTTGAGTAAAATACGTGCGGCCATTCCTGACCAAGTCTACCAGCACCTTAATTCCGTTCGCGTCGTAAAGCATCTGACGCTTCTCATCATTAACACAAGCTTGCAAGAGCATCAATAGAAGTATTTCTTTCTCGTCTGCTGACTTGCCGTCAAGTGATTTCAACAGATCCACAACGTCGACAGGTTCTGGTGAAAGTTCACTCTGAACAATAGCCGGATTTGATCCCGATAGCCTACTAAGTACCGGCACGAATTCAGCAGCTTGTGAAGCACCCATACGCTGTGTTGCTGCACGACATTTTAAGCAAATACTGGACCCATCAAAAATCGCCAAGTTGCAGGATTTACAGCTCGTGACTGGCGCGTGTGGATGAGAATCGGCCTCATCGTCAGCAACAACTTTAAGCTTTTCAAGTACTTGTTGAAGATTGATCCGACTTGCGGGGTCCTTTGACGTCATGGAGACTACTAGCTCCCACACACTGTCAGGCATAGCTTCGGGACGTCCAGGAATTCTGCCATTCCTAATATTGTCGCGAACATCATCATCACTGAGAAAAGCAAACGGGGGTTCATCGAGCACAGCTTCCATGATGCACATGGCAAAAGAGTACACATCGGAGGCGAAAGCTGCTCGCTCACTCAGACATTCTGGAGCACGCCAACGCAAGCCACCTGATATGTGGGTGGAAGTTCCTGCTGTCTTGGACATTGCTGCGGAGGTTCGAACAGCACTTAAGCCGAAGTCGGAAAGTTTTGTGTCGCGGTCTCCTTCTCTCGTCGGGGTCGTGTATCTTATGTAAGCCGGCGACGTAGGAGCTTAGACGTAAAAGTAAAGCAAATGTATTAACTTGTTTCTTGTTTCTGTTTCTTGAGCACTTCTGTTGAAAGAAGGAAAATCACGACTGAGAGCTTCCCTACCTGCTCTCCTACCTCCGAAAGTATCTCCTAATAGTCCCCATCCTGACCGACATCACTCTCAACTTCACTACCCTCCCACTGTCTGGATTCCTTGGTTCCACGTCAGACTTGGAACGAGGCCGTCTGAGTAGTAGAGACGGGATAGTCAGACGAGGCACTAAGCTTCTGCCGTGCACTAAACTGTCGGAAACACTCGTCCAGAATAGCCAGTCCTTCTGCCAGCCGTAAACCGTGACAATTCTCCCCGACTGACGCTCGGAGTCCTCGCCGAGCCTCGTTCCCTTCAGCATGTCCGGCGGTAGTGGTGGTCGTCGAATCCGGAACGACAGGTGTCGTTCCAATCGAAGCTCCGCTTGAATCCCTTTCCACAGAACGTTCCACTTCTCGGACTGCCACGCACAAGGTCGAGGCTGGCCTTCTCTCTCCCTTCCCGGCGCTCTTTCTTATTCCCGAGCTTAGTCCACCCTTGTTGAGCCGTTGAAATGCCAGATCGATCGACTCCACCTGCTTGCGAGGCCCAATAATACCTCGTAGCGTGACTATAGCAACCCAGCGTCAGCACCGACGCGTTCCAATAGAGACAAGCGATCGAGAATTCCAGCACCACGTCAACTAGTAACGAAACAAATGCGGCGCCCATCCATCCGCATAGTACGCCCTCCACGCCCTCATACAGCACGCGTGGCAAGTAGAACATGAGAGACATTAGCAGTTGCATCACGAGATAGACACCAGTTAGATATTCGCCCACACGATCAATCGAGGCAACCACAGCTTCAGCCATAGCCCTCAAGTAACGACAGGAAGACGTCCAGATAAGCTGCACCACATCAGGAACGAAGAGGCAGAACGAGTGATGCCACGCCTCGCACACGACCTAAGGCACAATCGTCCAAATATTCCAAATCGAGATTCGTAGTTCCGGAGTACCGCCATAGGAACGAGGAACAACAACGTGACCAAAATACACGCGTATTCCCCTGAGAGGCCAGTGCTTCGCGTTCGCGCCTCGGCACAGTAGTGACAAATCTGTCACTACAAGTGTACCAAAAGAACCAGATAGTAGTACAGCAATCCAGCGCACTAGCACCAAATGCCCATCCCCACGTTCCGTAAAGAAGTCGTGACAACCCCACGCCACGATGCCAGCCACAGCACAGCCCCACCATCGCTCCAGTCTCCCATCTCTGGGAACTGAACAGTCGGCGACACCACAACCCTTCCAGTGAAATCACTTCTCCAGCACTTCCGCCATTCTCAAATGACGCCGCTTAAGACTGAGAGATCCAGCCAGTGTTGTCCGTTAGCATCCTCGTCCCAACTGTCGTCACGAGTCACCCAAATCGTTATCTCTCACGTCGTTCCATTTTTGCACCCAGTCGCTAACGTCTTTTCTCCGACGTGTCCCTTCCGTCAGCCACTAACCTTTCGAGAGAAACTTATCCGTCAGCTTCCAACTATCCCAGCACCGAGCATTTCTCGACGGCAACAGCCTCTCTTTCGCCATGTCCAAGCGTCTGTCAGCAGCAGAGCGCACGCGTTTCAAGGCCTTCTTCGACGCAGCACTCGACTACGACGAACATGGAACGCCAGGCGACGACGCCAAGGCCATCAAGCGGGAGTTCTGGACCGAGTTACGAGGACACTTGGAAGGCAACGGCCTATCTACAGGTCTAGCGCATCTGGACCAACTCGTGGATGACTTGTTAGAGGAACGGTCTCCAGTTTCTCTGCACGGTCCCGTAGTCGCTATGCCTTCGCAGCCCGGAGTCTCAGCTCCAGCACCGTCGCCTGCCAAGTCGTCCACCGCTTCAGCCACTTGGTCTGCGAAGAAGACCACCCGTAGCAAGCGAAAAACCCGTAGCGGACCACCGCCTGTCAAGACGACCAAGAAACTACGCAGTAGTGACAAGCCTGCTCCGTCACCATCTCCACTCGTTCCGTCCGCGGAGTATAAGGCGTTGATCGACTTGAATCCTGACGCATCAGACTCCGTGAAGGCTGCCGTTTACTCGATCCTCGCCAAGACCGAAGCAGCGGGAAAGAAGCCTTGGTGTATCGCCTACCCGTGGACCGGACGACCTCAATGGTACAATCCTATCCGTTTCCGCGCTGTGTATCGTGCCCATTGGCGTTTCTGAATGATGCATCGGCGTGCCTTTTAAGAGTGGGCTCTGTACGCGCCTTTGGCATCGGAGACGGCGCAGAATAACCGCCGGAAGGCGAAGATGCGAGCTGTTCAAGCCCGAGTCGCCTTCATGAGCTTGTGCATTGAGACTTGGGGCTTCTATGCCTTTCTCACGCTCCTCGATAAGTGCCCGTTGATGTTCTGGATGGGCGGCCAGCCCGGCCGAGACAATAAGAAGACGCTGCACTACGATGGACCTCTAGCCGACGCTCTCACCTCCCTCGAAGACAAGGATCCGGAACGATACAAGGCCACGATCGCTAATGCACTGGAACCCGTGCAGATCGACGCCTACGGCTACCCAAGCATTCGCGCCCTCCTGGAGACGACGGAGGCTCTGGTCCCTACCGCTAAGCCGGCCAACCGGCTGTCCATGGTGGCTCTGACACGCGTTCGTCTCGACCTCCAATCGTTAGTGACGCCCAAGGACACGTGGGTAGGGTCGAAGAGTGACGAACCTTGGAGGACCCTCATCAGCGACGCTACCGTGAAGCAGACCCAGCTTACCGTCGCGACAGAGTTGAAGAATGGCACATATCAACTTCCCGAAGTCCGTGGTCCGACCAAGACGGAGGTCAAGCGTGCCGAATGGTCCGATCTCGAAGAGGAGGACGAAGACGAGACTAAAGCAGCCGATCCTGCCGCTGCTGTCGAGACCTCCACTGTTACCTACTCTAAGGGAGTCAACGCCGACGCTGACGACGGAGAAGATGGAGACGAAGAGGTTGAGGACGACGAAGAGGCCGAGGAGGACGAGGACGAAGAGGACGAAGACAACAAGGCGGAGGCTGACGACGAAGGAGACAACGAGAAAGCTGTTCCTGAGAAAGCTCCAGCCGCTAAAGAGAAAGCCACCAAGAAGTAGTCTTCCTGCTAACGCGAGTAGTAGTCGTCCGACTATCAGTTCGTTGCCTTTTCCTCTAACTCAGAATAATTTTGCGTCCCTAAACTTCTTATAGTTCCACAATCTTTAACAAATCACCATCGTTCCATCAATGTTAGACGCGCCGTTCCAAATCATTCGTTCCAACCTTGTCTCGCTCCAGATAATCTCGTCTCGTAACAGCTCTTCCAAATCGAAACCCAAAGTATCCATACTCATCTCGTTCTCATATGTAAAATGCAGCAATACAACCCAGTATCTTGAGATTCTCTCGTTTTCAAATACCGATTAGAGTGAAGTCATCACACTCCACTCGTTCCAACCGGTCAAGTGACCAGCTAGAACAACACATCCGCGTCGTCCCCGTCAGCGTTGGCTTCGACCAACCTGGCGCTCCGACGTAACTCCGGCAAACCCTTCTTCTTACGATCTGCATCTTCAAAGGTAGTGATTAACGTTCCGAACTCCGGAGCTAGAGCAGCTCGTGACAGCCAAAACGTCTCGTAGGTAGCTGTCAGTACCAGGTACTGAAGCTCACCCTTTTCCATTTTCTTCGCAAGAATATCCACAATAGGCGACGAGACACCAGCAAAAGCAGTCTCTTCACCTCCAATAGACAAACGTTCCACAAAACTCGATGGAGGTAGATCATCCTCCTGCAATGGTCCTGGTTCCGTACGCATGTCGCTTCCAGTCACGTTCTCTGTTGTCACGTTCTCATCAGTCACGTTCTCGGTAGTCACGTTCTCATCAGTTACGTTCTCGGTAGTCACGTTCTCGGTCGAACCTTCTGGAATATCACCAGCGAACGGTCGACTCCAACGACCACGGAAGCGCTTCAACCGATTCACATTCACCGTAACAACCTTGTCAGGATGTCTGGGTATCGCAATCTTGTAGGCGTTCTCCCCGACGTGGCCTACAATACGGTACGGACTGTGCCAAGAGAACGCCAACTTCTTCGTCTTATTTTCACCGACTTTCGCTCTGAAATACTGATAGACCCAAACGGGATCCCCCACTTCATATGTGACCTTGACTTGCTTACCCAAACGCTGCTCGTGCCGATTTAGTAGCTGTCGTTCCACTAGACGCCTTGAGTCACGTAACGACAAGTACAATTTCCTCCTGTACGCAGCAACCTCGTTGCTTTTCCAGTCTAATCCAGTGTTGAGAAAGGCTAAGTCGATAGGTAGAACCGGGTCACGACCATATAAACTGAAGAAAGGAGTGTCTCCCAGACCCTCGTGATACGCAGTCCGGTATGCCAACAAGACCCGAGGCA